CCCCAAAACCCCAAAACCCCAAAACCCCAAAACCCCAAAACCCCAAAACCCCTAATAAGCCCAACATTGTTGAAAATAATAACAACAAATAAAAATGATTGATGTTAGAAGCTTCCTGGAAAAGAGAAATGATTATGTAGCTGCTGTGAGGCAAGAACTACCCACGATTCATAGGAGAGTATTGTCAGCTAGCCCGAAGAGAAGAGAACCATTTACGCATAGGGTTAGGAAGATGTGTAAATATGATAAATGTAAGACTCTTGGATTTTATCCTTTTTGGACCTATTAAATCAACTAGGAGATAATAACACTTTCGACAATATCGTAGAATGTTAAAATATTTAGTATACCACATCATTAGATTGTTAAAAATACGAAATATCAATAGGATTCGTCATCTCCCACAACCTTCTGTGTCAAAATACTGAACCTCCATCAGCAAAGTATACCCATACATCACAGTTGCTTTAAAAACCTATCCTGTTATTTTAGTAGTATCTCTAATTGTTTTTTGAAAAGTTCTTCGATCTGAACTTTGAGAACAATACTAAAATAAACCGTCAAATGAAAACCCAGTGTTCTCCTTTGAAAACTATTCAATCTTCTTTTCCCACAAAAGGAGTTAATTCTAATTCCAAAAATATGAGCTGGGTCTGAGCTTTTAGGCAGGTAGAGATTTTAGAAGAAGTAATTTACTAAAGTATCAGAAATAACAGGATACCTCTGGTATAGTATAAGGGTTTCATCCAGGCGATTTGCCAACCAAGACTCATTGTATAAAGTTAGAATCGGTATTAATCTAGGTTGCAATCTAAATCGAATTTTATCAAGATTTCTTCTAATTTTTAAAATTTCTGCTCGAAGTTTACACAATCTTCAAATCCTGATAAAAAGAGGTTCATTTTTATACAAAACAAGCGGAAGATATGTTAAAAGACTTAAATCAGTTCAGAGATATGCCAGAAGTAGGCATACTAAAGAATCCTTGAGAGAAGTCTTGATTTCAAGGGGTTTACTGCGACTTTATTTTGGCCGTTATCATAATGAGAGTACACAAATTGAATCTTAGTTCTAATGTACACGTCAGATATCGCCCACCGAAGATTTATTATAACTTGATGAAAAAGAATAGTTTCGTTATTTTAATAGCAAACTGGAACTTTATAGATGTATGGAATAATTTATAGTGCATTACGTTCTTGGTAGAACCATGCAGCACTATCTGAGTCGTGGCTTATCCTTCATAGATAAAATTTAGATTTTAAAAGTAAGATTTTTAACCTCGAGAGGTTATTAAGAAATATGCATGGTATATATTTCAAAACTTTGCTATCTCTTTTGAATGGATGGTCCAACCAGTCAATAGGTCCTATCTAGTATGGTTGTAGAGCTCACTAAAGAAATCTGAGAGCATTTTGGGGGAAGTTTCAGTAATGCAAAGGTTATAATCAAAAATACCTCATCTTCCTTTATTTGTACAAATTGACGAAATTTGATGATAGCCTAGAATCGATTTGGACTATAAATATTACTGGCATCAAGGATGCCTGAATTTTTTATTCAAATAACCTTATGTTTCATTTATCTTTCTTTATAAAACCCCATTATTTAGCAAAATAATTAGAATGCTTTAACATAAACCAAGTACGATTTAACAATACTTAACTTATTGTCAGAAATTAGAAAAATATGGTTGAAGAGGCTAGAAAACAAGCTAATAAATATGCAGTTGACTGCACTTCTTCCTCAGCCAAGATAACATTTTTGAGTGTTCTGACAACATTCCAGTTAGACTTGTCTATGGTTCATTAAGATATCTAAATAATGCCATTTTCGGGTTCATTAAGCCAACGAATAAATTTCCTGATCTGTGATTAAGAATTATGAATATTTTCCAGAACAAATTTTAAGAAATACTAATTTACTTTTAGGCAAAAATTCAAAACTCTCAATGGTAAAACACCTCAAGTTCGTTGTCTGCAGCGATGAACTTCCAAGAGAACCTATGACCAAAGTGCAGAAGAAAGAGTAACTAATCGTAGTCATATTTAGGTTTCGAAGAGGAATGAAGGACTACCTTAATATCTCATGCAAAGTTTATACCAGGCTTAACTGATTCAGCCCAGGAAAATTTAACTCAAAGAGGCTGCTCGAAGGAAAATTTGCGCAGTTTTCAAAGAAGGTAAGCACCAGTTGGGTTAGCATATTTTGCCAGATATTTAGGAACTTTTTAATAGATTATTAAAGTACTTTTTTCAAATTTTCATCAACTTTGACTAGTGTTTTAAAGTACTATTAAAAATTTAATAAACTGAACCAGCCATTTGATGAAGATTTATAAACCTGGTTTCTAACTTTTTATAGTTTCCTCTATCAGCTGCTCTGGCTCCTCAAGCAAAGCTTAGTCTCAGAAGAAAGTCAAGGTTTGCCTAATTCTTTGAGTTCCAAATCCTATCAACTTCGAAAAGGAAGAGAGGATATTGGAAGAGGTCACTTAAATTTTCGTAAAAATTCATAAATTTTTAATATTGATTGCTGACAAAACCTGGTGAGACCTTCATGTAGAAATACCAGCTATAGCAAGAGACTCGTTATGATGGAATAGAGGTCTATTTAGACCATTTGGGTAATAGTGTATCCTACTTATACAACAATCCTGAGTTCTTATGCAATTTTTATAAAAAAGTTCACTTTGAGTATTTTCTTAATAATCTCCCAGGCTTCTTTCTCAAAAATTAGGAAAAGCTTAGATTATCTTCACAAAAAATCTTGTATATCTTAAAATTTGATTTTTTTGTTCCAGAGCAAGGAGGAGCTCAACCAAGTTGCCATCTAAATGATCTTTGAGATATTTGAGAAATGACTTGTTGGTCTTTAAAAGTCTCCGGTAGCTAAAACCTTCTTTTTTATTATGTTATTTATAAATTGATCTAAATTTCCAGAAAGAGTACTAAGTCTTTTCTCTAATAAACTCCCAAGAAGACAGAGATCCTTACTGTAAACTTAAAAAATCTTAATTGAGAAAGAGATAAAGTGATAATTTTAAAGCCTTGGCTATATTCGAGCTGGAGAATCTTTATATAATACGTGAGTAATCCAAGTTTCCATTTTCAATCATTTGAGCATGATTAGGGGTTTTGGGGTTTTGGGGTTTTGGGGTTTTGGGG